CCATGCCTGCATCCCGATTGCTTCCTAGAGATCTCAATGAAGTCGGCATCGTAACCGAATTGCGTGAGTGCAAAATCAAATTCAGGTAAATCTTCTGTCTCCACTGGAGAAGAATTCCGCCCATAGTAAACGACGGAAGTGACCTTGGCCCATGGCTCGTCATTGACCGACCTGCCGCCTCCGCCCACCTTGGACTGGACTGGGTTGGGGGGGGCAGTGTGGTGCCAGGCGTCAAACTCACGGGCGGCGGCAGCCAGTTGGGAGGAGGAAAGTTCCTCTCGGGAGATTTTAGAGTTTTGGAGGGATTGGGACGAGCAGTGGTATCCAATATATTGGGTTTGACAGGGAATTTGTTTGGCTAGACCAAGGACTCCTCCGTGAAGCCAACACTAACCTAACCATGCTAATGCAAAATTGATCAATGCGGACGCATTCGCCTGCATCCCTAAGGCTTAAGTCCCAAAAAAGCATTTTTCTGGGAACTGCAGATTTTTTTGGCAATGGATTAGAGTTGCTCCGAGTAGGTGACTGCTTAAGAGTTAAAATACAAAGTATGTTGTATTAGGATGCTTGTTACAAAAAAAGAACAGCGAGAAACCTAGGATACATGAAGGATGAAGTTCTTCACAGTATGTTTCTTCCCTGGTCTCTTCCTTTAGGAGAAATCATGATAGTAATAGTCTAGGAGATCAAATTTACTGCTGAATAAGATGGCAAATTGGCGATAGAATAGGTAGAGATGTGCTCAAATCAAAACCTAATTTTAGAAACCTCCATGCTGAAATAGTTTCCCCAATTTCTACAGAGAAGATAAGTATCAACAGATTAAAAACACTTCATTTTTCTGCAGATCCAAATAAAACACCACTTCTAGGGGATGCCCTTGTTATTGCCGGGACAGTTTGTTATGCATTTAGCAATGTCAGGGAGGTTGGTGATGTATTGTATATATATCCTGCTACTATCAACAATATTGTCTCAAAACTCTGATAATGATATCATTCCCTTGATTATGTAGGAGCACTGTGTCAAGAAGAACGACAGAGTAGAAGTTGTCGCAATGCTTGGACTATTTGGAGTGCTTGTCAGTACAATTCAGATGTATCCTCTCCACAGTTCATCAGCAGAGAAAACTGCTGTTATCCGTTGATATTGATATCTATAGATTAGATTCACTCTTATTCTTTTATTGTTAAACATCACTACATTGTTTCTGGAGCAAATATTCATGTTACCTTTTAACCTGAAAAAACATCAGATTTATGTTTGAAAGGAAGAGCGTAGAAGCAATTGCCTGGTCTCCAACAATGGTAGCAAACTCTAGTTTTGGTTCATCTGCAAATACACTTTTTGAATTGTCCGACAGGAAGCTCACTCCTGCCTAATAATTTTTATTTTCAGATAAGTTTGTTTGCAGGATATGCCGTTGCAGGATTTATGTTCTACACCATTGCTCCTTTTGTCCTTCAGGTTAAGTTCCCTCCAACGTGTTTAATCAGATAATAAGCTACATGACTAGAGTAGGCAACAAAGAGAATCGGTCCAGTCAAGTGGTAATGAATTATCTGAATAAATAAAGAATAAGCATAAGCTACTCGGATAATATTAGTTCATTAGCAAGTATCAGCAGAAGGCCCTTTCATTTCTCATTTCGAGTAGTAGTTTAGCTCTTTCTGATGACCATGACTCCTGCAGATGAGTGGAGCAACATTGCTTAACCTCTCGCTCTTAACATCTGACATGTGGGCAGTCGCCATTCGAGTATTTTTCTATCAACAACAGGTGACAATTTCTGTCTGATCCTTGCAACAGATCATAATAGGTTGCACTATATGCTCAAATGATTTGCACGCGACCAACAGATAAACTGGTTGTACTATCTAGCATTCGCAGTTGTGGCCATCGGATTGATCATCTACTCACTGAAGTAAGTTCGTTGAAGTTGTTCTAGATCCATAGGCAGATATGTGACTCATCGCAGAAACCTAACATGCTTAATTGCTTCTGATGTATGAAGTGAGAATTCTTCGGCTGATGCAACAGCTACAAGTACAGAAGCAGCCGCTCACTATCAACTACTTCCAAGTGAGGAGAGCTCAATAGGAAGTGGTTCCAATTTGGACAGAAAAGAAAGGAAGCAACCAGAAGCTCACATCTGTTAAGGCCGCCAATGTACAAAGTCATCTCCAGGTTGCAACAGCGAATTTCTGATTGAGCCTGGGCTGCCACATCCTTGCAAGTAAGGACAGCTGCTCCGGAGAAGCAACATAGGTATCATGTGATACGCTACCTGCAGGTTCATAAAAAAGTGTCTCTGTCTCAGTCGGCCGAGAATTAACTAATTGTCAGTTGATTTTACAAATCTGTGCATACAAATCTAATACAATGTTTACCATTAAATAATAATTTGTTCATCTAGTGTGAAAAGTTGCAGTGTTTTTCTCATAGTTCAGAGATATATGAACATCTCTCAATGTGAAATCGATGGTCCTCCGTGTCTGACTTAGATATAACTAATTCTCGCCTGAGAATTAGCAAACCCGGTCTTCCTATATCCCGGTAATTGATATTTCATGAACTCTTTATACTCTACAATGAAATCGGCAGGTTGCAGCAGTTTACTACTTCGCCTGCGCACATCTGACATCAGTTTCCAGACGACTTAACTTAGTTGCTGGTACTATGCATAACTTTTAGGTGTGGATCGTCACTATATATGCCCAACATGACAGGGAAATCTGTTCTGTTCATTGTAAGTCTATCATAAGATACATCGCGCCGGAAGCACTTCTCTTACCTTGCTGAAACTCGGTTTCTTGGATCACCATTCTTTAAAATCTTCCTCGTTTTCATCAGTACTAAGTGATGTTCCTTTGTTTTCTCCGACTCAGCTTTCAGTTATCAGCCGCAGTCCTGTGATCAGCAGTGCAGCTTGAAACATTATCTCCAGTTGCAAGATCAACGAGACAGATAATCGAGCAACAATTTCACCAGTTTTAGTATGTACATAACAGAAATCTGACTCTTTTTTCACCTTCAGGATTTTTTTAACCTTCTAGTAAATTGTATTGTAGATGAATCCACGCGTCATCTATAATCGGGTTTTCTTTTCTCTGCAGAAGGTAAACTTGGTTACGCCTACGTTGAGTTTATGTGTGTATAAATTCTTAAAATAATGCATTGATTTCATTATAATGTACTGAAGAAAGTTAATAATTTGCTTAAAACCAACACAAGGAAAGAAAATTTGCAGCATAAGAGCATCTCCAGCAGTTATCCAATAATCCATCCAAAATATGCACGTATTGCGCAGCTGTACCCCCTCCCCCAACCACCGCCTCTCCACCTGTAGGCTTAAGAGTTTGCCAATATTCATTATTGATTGCTTTTGCAATCCGATTTCCTCAATTTGATTTATTGTCTTTTTTCATCGTAAGAACATGGCAAATGCTATACACAAGCATAGTAATGTTATCTGCTTTCGCATGGCAAATCTTTTTTTGAGCATCAGTACAGACATAAGCGCTCATACACTCATCCCTATGAACGCACACACGCACACCCTACCCCTATGAGCACCTTCGAGAGACTGAGCCGGCATATCATCTTGAGATTTACGAAGTCACCGTAGGCGCCTCGTCGTCGACGGAAACGTTTCCTCCCACTGAAAGCGCATCGCCGGAAATCCTGAAATAAATCCAGGAATAATGCGAGCAACAGGATTTGAACCCTGGTGGGTTGGGGATACCACTGCCCACTTAACCAACTCAACCACAGGTTGATTCGCTTTCGCATGGCAAATCTGATCATTAGGTTTTGTTAACGCTAAAAATGTGACGTCAGTAGTACAGACCTGATCGTTACATTTTCCGTGTATTTTGTTTTGTTTTTGTTCAAAAGATATCCAATAATACAGATCCTCTGTTCCTGTCAGAGAAGAAACGGCATCATTTTTTATTTTGGTGGCGGTACTTGTGTAGCAGTGCCCCGATCGATGTCCTCCCTGGTGACAAATCCCCATGCGCGATGTCCTGGAGCCGCAAAGCGCCGGCCCGAAACAATTGACGTCTCGGCTGCTCAAAACCTCTTGGCAATGATCACGACGCTTCACATGCACGGGCATGGCGATGTCGGGCCTTCTTCTCCGTACCGTACCACGATGCAAACAGTCCCGTCGTTGGAGGTTGACGACCGATCGTCGCGGCACCGTACCACGTTTGTCCGGAGGCAGCCGATCGACTCGACCCCTCCTCCACTGTTGCGCGGTCAACCGCATGGATCGCGTCGTAGGCCAGGCCAGGCGCCGGCCACCGTACCGCCTAGGGCCTTGGCGCCACCGATCGCATCTCCCACCCGATCGGAGATGGTCCAGCCAGTCCGCGCATGCATGTAATGGACTGAGGGGGTGTTTGGTTCAGGGACTTTTTAGTCCTAGAGACTAGAAAAAGTCCCTAAAAAGTTCCTAGGAACCAAACGGGAGAGACTTTTTCTACAGGGACTAGAAAAAGACTCTACTAGAGAGTCTTTTTTGATTAGTCCCTGGGACTAGAAAAAGTCCTAGGACTTCTCAACCAAACACCCCCTGAAACAACAGCGAGTCCCAGCGTACCACGTATGCCCGGACCCCGGAGGCACCCGATCCCTCCACTGTTCCGCGGTCAACCATGGATCGCATCGCAGGCCAAGCCAGGCGCCCACAGCTTTCACCGTACCGCCTCCTTGGGGCTTGGCGCCACCGCTCTCACGACAACTCCAACGCACGGTCCCGTCTGTGTCCGTTTAAGGGTAAACGGACACAAATGGCGACCCAACGCGCGGAAGCAAACGGATAAATGTCTATTCTCGGTTCGCTTTTAACCTATTGCCGGCCCAAATTTAAGTCACGTTTGCGACCGAACAAACAACGCGCGGACGGATGAGACACGCGCCCTTGTACTTCCCTGGCCCGTCTGTCGGGGACACATCCGTCCCACTTTCCCTTCATTTCGTTCAAACCTTCCCGCGTGCCCCCTCCTCTCCCTCCTCCGTGCATGTAATGCAATGTAATGGACCGAAGCAACAGCGAGGCACCACCCTGTTCGTACTAGTACGTTCGGGGCGCCGAGGAATCGGCCACGCGATGCACGCCGCGGCGATAGATAGTACTAGATAGATCCTCCACGGTTCGAGCTAACGCGAACCGTACGTATCTGCGGTCCGCACGCCACGAGGCCTGTCTGTCCGCTCTTGAAGGCGGCAGCAGCGATAGGCCAGTGGTGTTGCATGTCTCTCCGAAAAATCACATGATGCTTTCCCTGTGAAACTACAGTAGTTCATGTCCACGGCCGGGGGCCACACGTAGCACCTAGCACGTACTACTACGTTCGGGGCTCTGGCCGACCGCGCGCACCCGGCGTCTCGCCGTCGTTGCGGCTCAAGTCAGATCCCCATTATGTCTTGTCTGACATCCGGTTTAGGGCACAGAGTTGCTGCGGCTGTTTAGGGCACAGATCCCCATTACTGGTTTCGCTGATCCTATCTTGCCCACTGGACAAGTACCGTCACGATGCATTGCCGGCTGGTGCAACCACTTTTTTTAAGAAAAGACATACGTTCGATTTTATAAATAAAACCATTAGGCAGAGTAACAGATCAATCAGTAAACCAATAAAATAACATAGCAACAACTAATAAGGTTCGCATACATGGCTACCTAGCCAATCATGACACGCAGGCAGGGCCGGCCCTGGGGCAGGGGGCGGCCGCCCCAGGCCCCCACAAGGTAGGGGGCCCACCCAGGTATGTATTGTATACATATAGCAGGTTGTAGGCCCATGTCAAACAAAATAGTCAAAGGCGAGGCCTTTCATCAGCCCTTCACGCACACGCACAGGCTCGCAAGAGAAACGGGCAGCAGCGGCAGGATTAGCGACATGCGCGGCTTGATTAGCGATTGCTTTCCTTCGTCCTCCACGTGAAAAAAAAGACAACAATATGCGATCCTTTCACGGCTTCACCTAGGAAAAAAAGACCGATCGTGATCCTGTCGATACTCGACAGTTCGACCCGTCTCATCACGCATGCTCCCAGCCCTAGGCCGCCGCCCGCCTTCGCCGACACGCCGTACTGCAAGTCTGCCCACTGCCATCTGGCTCTTGAGCATTTCTAATTCTCTTCTCCTAATCTCCTTCCCAATCCAGTTCACAACTGATTTCAATTCAGGGGGCCCTCACCCTCACGCTTGGTCAATTGCTCATTGCTCTCCGAGTCTAGGCGCGTACGCAGAACTAGGTATATTATATTTGCGTTTGGCCGTTCCTTGATGCGTATGTGGCACCGTTCAATAATTGATGCAAAAATTACTTTTTCAGGATTGTGTGTTAGCATGCCCCGAGAAACAGGACATATGCATCGGGTAGTAATAAAAGGAAAAAGAAGAAGGCCGTAGATAAATTGGTACAATCACAGCGTGGGCATCTGCACATATATTACAAGAGTACTTCCACTACTTCGATAAACCCAGGTGATGAGTTGGCAATAGTTGCCATAGAGGAAGAGCAACAAACTAATGTGAATTCAGAATTCGATCAGCAAGAAGAAAATGTCGAAAGCAACATCGACGACAACAATGTAAGTGGCTCCGAGAATGTAGGTAATATATCGGATGCACAAGAACAGTCTCCTAGTGTTGATGAACCAGTCTATACTCCTGATATTTATGATCCAAGAAATTGGGATAATCTTGACAACAAAGCAAGAGATGTATTAGTTGAGAAAGGGCCAATGAGAGAGGAACGGGATAAAATGGAATACCGTGTAGATGATGCAGGAAGACATTTTTCCTATGCTCATTATCATAGGAAATTAAGCAATGGAGAGAAACATGATAGAAAATGGCTAGTTTATTTAGAAGGTGTTGACAAAGTTTTTTGCTTTTGTTGTAAGATCTTCAAATCTAGGTCAGAGTTCCTTAGCACATGATGGATTAGATCATTGGAGGCACATTAGTGAGAAGCTTAAAGAACATGAAAATAGTGTTGATCATATTAATAACATGAACAAGTGAAATGAATTAAGGATTAGACTACGGAAAGAGGAAACTATTGAAAGGACTTGCAGCATCAAATAACAAAGGAGAAAGAACGTGTCAGGAAAGTTTTGTTAAGAATAATAGCCATTGTGA